TCACGTAATTAATTATATAGATGAAAATTGTAAGTGTATGTTGCAAATTGACTAATATATTTCTCCGTCGGAAAAAGAAGTCGTCAAATTATGGCATTTGGTCACAGCAAAATTAATATGGGAATTACCAACAGTTTATGGTAAAACTCGGTAAATTTAATTGTTTTCAATTTTAAAATTTTTGCTCAAAAGTCATAATCTAATCTAATCTAATGATGAGAAATTTATACTATCTCACCATTTCGGTTTTCACAATTAACACTGATTTGTAGACTAGATCTAAAGGATAACAGGCATCACCACAAAAGGCAACAGAGAAAAAGAAAGTATGCTCTGTGATTACTTCTAGACGTATTTAGACAAAGTTTGTCATTTAAGACTACTTATTAAGCTGCACACTTTTTTGTCAAAATCATATTTAAAAATTTTTCCATCATATCTCATACCTTATATTTTGAAATTTGGTATGAGGATGCATAGTCTTATGCAAGATAAATTATAGCAGGTGATCTACAATGCTATACAATTATGGCATCCTGAGACCATATAACTGTACTTAATTATTACTAACTACTCAATAACAGTGCATAGTTGCATAATTGTATTCTTTACTGATAACATGGCACTACAGACAATTGGTGAAAGATTTGGACTATATACGGGAAAGTTTCAAGAAGCTTTAAATGAAATTGGAATGGTTTTGTCTAAAACATAACAACAATAAATCTGTATATATAGATTATAAAAAAAAAATTGCAACATTGCTTATTGTAGGTGGTTTGAATATATCTTACTTAAACACCACAAAATATCTCAGTATAAGCTTGGACACAGAATTACATTAGAAAGAATACATCAAAAAACATTAGACATTAACTAACAATATATGCATTGGCTTAGGGTCCGACGATCATCTCTACACCAAGACAATAAGCTGTTTATCAATAAATAACAAATTCTCAAACCCCTACTACGGTACTATGGTACTATTCTATCCAAAGATGCAGTAGTCAGACGGACAAAAATCTAATACAATGATTTCAAAATAAAGTACTTAGAGTTAAAATTATAACTTTTTGGTGTATTTGAGGTACTGACATTTAGAGGGCTCTCAAATGTTTATTAGTCAAAGTTGAAATAAAAAGGTCCAGCAAATCATACTTCTTCTGTACTTAAGAGATCCAAAAACTTGCTGAGAAGGTTGAAAAGGACTAACGGTTTCGTTATGAAAGTGAAATGTATTCAACGGTAATTATTGTTTATATATATTATATTATAATCTTGCTAGATAGTCTAATTCAACAAACTAATTGCAATGCAATATATTAAACAATATAAAAACGTAGTAACTAAAGGGTATTGACTCTTCAACGTATTAAGGCTAACTCTTATTCCTATGTTATATTTATTGCTGTAGTTTAAGAATAAATTAATCAATCAAAAACTTATAATACCTATAGCAATATTTATATTTTTTATTAGATTTCGGCATATCTGATTAGATTTAAAATGAATTTAAAATACAGAAAACGAAATGTCGGGTATTTAAATTGACGTTGGGTGCCTATCTGTATGTCGGTTTTAATGCAAAATAGTTTTTTTTTTGCTAATAATATAAAATTTTTTAGGGAGACGTTTTATGGCCGTACTTTTATGAAGTAATAAAAAATTTTTATAAGCAATGTCAAGTAATCAACATTAAATTCAAAATATATTGTAACTCAGTCAAAAAGAAATACTTCGAAATATATAATATCTTCGCTAATTTTTTTAACAAATTTCAAATTCAAAACAATACACATTTGGGTTATTTAATTCAAGCTGAAATTTTATTATTTATTATAAATTTATATTTGTACGGGTAAATGTAGCCTCGCTGTTGATTATTGCCTTTAATAAGACGCAACAGTGGATGTTTATATAAAGATTTCTTATGTTAGTTAATTTATGACAACATATATTTTTAAAATTTTATAGATAGATTATTTATAAACGTTACAATACAAGATCTCAAAGGGACACTTCATCCACAGCTTCCTTCAGCAACGGTACAACCCCCGATATCTGATCATGCCTTTTTTCAACAAATCTCTTTCAGAATCTTTAGTCATAAGTTAAGTTCGACTTTTTCCTGATTTTAGTATAATTTTAATATTTGTTTACATTAGTTTGTTATTAGGAGTCGTATACTATATAAATGGATTGACACTATCTAAAGGTAACACGATTGAAATTTTAAATACGAAGCAATACTTTTTTTATAAAAAAGTATTATAAAGTTTCTTTTAATTATAAATTATAATTCAACTAAAAATTAACTTAAAATATTTACGTCATTAAAGGTTGATTAAGTTTGTATGATGAGAAGTGTTCCTCATTTACAAACGAAGTTTACTTTTTCTCAACAATGATTGATTGCTTAAAAATGAGAGTTTTAAAAATTTTAGTTGTAGTTTACTTTTTATCATAATTACAATAGTAAGTACTTTCTTAAGTGTCTATAAAACTGCCAATCAATCAGAACAGAAGCTTTATTAAACCGCATAAACTCAACGGGATTTTAGCTTATTTGCAGGGATTTTGAAGATGGTATTAAAACGACAAATAATTTCTAATTATGTAAAAAGAAAAAGTATCTGCAGATCAGGCCTTACATCAACTAACCACTCTCGAATACATTTATTTCATCCATGTTTCAATTTGAAATTTCTTAAATCCCTTTAAATTATTAATTAAGTGAAAACCTTAAAAATATTCACTTCGGACAGATATAATCTTTAAATTTGTCTAATAACTTAAACTTTCTATCTAAATTTTCAACTAGGGAAAAATTCTAAAAGTCACTAGAGACAATATCTGGTTGTTGTAGAAGTAGCCCATAACAATCAACCTGTGTAGTCCCTTTTGTGAGTGCTGGATCCTCAAAATCGACGAGTGGCTCCGGCACTACAACCCGATTGGTCTTGAAACTACAATATCCGATGATATTGTAAAAATACTTGTGCCACTGTGACTAGTAAATAGTAACCGATCTTAGTGAAAGAAACTTGTATACTATTACACATTAGAACACTTACGATATTGATTTCATCTGACAATATTGCTTAATATAATCCATACATTTTCTTTATGTAATCTAGTATTGTGTGACTATTTCAGACATTATTAATTAACATTTCACTATTGGCATACCAAAAAACTCTAGTCATGCTCTTCCTAATTGACTACATAACCTTAATCTTCTTTTATGCTCTTTTACATTATAATATTACTGTTTATGCTTTAAACCCAGGAATGCACTTTAGTAGACTTAAAAATTATTCAATAGTTACTAGTCTACGCAAAAATCCATTTTATTTCACTAAAAGTGGATTCTCAAACATAGCTTTTGCAATGTTTAAGCATTTGTGGATTAAACTTAGTAAATACGGCTTAGAAATCTCCAGTTACAGGCTTTGTGACTGTCCTACTTAATCTGGGGCAGAGGGAAAATGATGAATCGGAGGTTTGTTTTTTATTCTGAAATGTGGATATCGCTAACATTTTGGGTTTCATTTGAAAGAAAGAGTGTCTTCTGTTCAGTTTGGGTCGGAAAGTAGTACAAACGGTCAATATAGTCGCAGTGTTCTGCTTTCCTAAAGCTAGTACCACGTTTTCATTTTCTATGCTAATCCATTGTAGTACACACAGCACCCAAAATGTATTATTTCTCACATGTGGTCAAGCGATACGTCTACACGTCCAACAAGCTTCCTTATTCTTAATCAGCCAACATTTAATATCATTTTGTCAATCGATATGTCTACAGGTTCAGCAAGTTCCCTAATTTTTAATCAGTCATCATTTAATACCATTTCTGGATGATCTTTATGAACTATATATTTGTTTATAAGTTTTATTGTTGTATATCATAGTGCAGTACCCATACAAGCTTTATTAAAATTTAAATAAATTTGCAACTAACTATTATTTTATAAATGCGAGAACCTAATCAATTCGCAATTATTATTGTTTTCCATTTATACAAAAACTTGTAGTCGTTCAATGAAAAAAATTATTAAAAATTATTTAGCAAATATTAGCAGCGACATCACATTATAAAGCATTATAATGTGTAGCATTTGCTTAATGGTCAGGCAAAAAACTTTTGAATTGCCCTACATATTTGCTGTGATAAAAGTAATGGTTTGAAATAATTTATAAATATTTACAAATGTTTAACAACTAAGATGAACTTAAAAAGAATTTAATTCAATTAGACAATTGGAATTAATTTAAATTATTAATTAATCAATTTAAATTATTCACTTTTATATTTCAACCACACTATTATATTCTTCCACTTTTAATAATATTTATTTATTTATTTTTTACATTTAACTATTAACTAATATCATTAATATTACTTACATTGTAAGTAAAATACATGATTTTATAGCTGTAATTAAAATTGTTTAATTATAAAAAATATTTCTTTATTATTATAACACAATTCATTGCTTAATTTGATATGATATAAAATATTAAGAGAGGATATTTATTTATTTCACTAAAATAACCATTAACCCATTTCTGGTCAAAAGTGGACTCATTCGGCTTTCATTTCCAGCAGCTCACATTCGAAGGTTTTGGAATCAAAGTTTGTTGTTGTTTATAAGGAACATCTGTTACGCATGTACAATTTTTTTTATCTTTTAAAAGACTCTATTCAGACATTTTATACATTATAGATAGAAATTAAGAAGAACAAATATTACAATATTTTTTAAATTAATATATTTCCATATTCATAATTTTCTCCTATTATTTATTGTGTTGTTTGTTCTTAAGTTAAAAAATATTTTTAATTATATTCACATTTGCTTTATAATTAAACGGTGGTAATTTGTTTATTGTTATTTTATTTTTTTTTAATTAATTTTTTATTTATTTGTTTTTTGTTTTTAATAATTTAAATAATATAATGAAAAAACGTAAAATTTGAATTTTTTTATTTTTACCTTAGGCTCTATCATTTTATCAATTAATCCACAACGAGGTGCAGAGAAATTATATGGCATTATAGTCACCATATTACACTAAATAATTCACAAATAAGTTTTTTTTTTTTTGTTATTATTATTTTAATATTTTAATATATATTTTTTTTGTTTCCTTTAATAGAATATTGTAATATATATTTATTTTACTGTTCAGTACATTTTTTATTTATTTTTCATAAATCATAAAACACAAATCGTTAAAAATTAAATGAAAACGATTTTTTTAAAAAGATTTTAATCACCGATTTGAATACATTTTTAACAGTTAAGTTTTCGTTATTTGAATTTAATTTCTTTATTGACACATTTGAAGACAACTAGACCGACAATTCCATCGCTTTGAGATACTTATGAAAACTGATTTTGAGTGTCAGCAGACAAGCAACAAAACAAAATAACTTTTCCTCAAATGCATGCCAGCAACATCGAATTTGAGATTCGCATTATCACTCAAAACGAAAGAGATGCATTCACCGTATAAAGCCATGTGAGTGAAGTACTACTTACTCATCATTCGTTTTACACTACTCAAGCGAAGCACTCTTGTTTACTGCGAACCACTACCAGTTGCCAGTTCTTTCAAGTAGACGACTTTTTTGCAGACTGTTTTTGTTCCTGTATTGTGCGCTACGTTAGTCGGTACTGCGCATGAGTTTGTATAACTGGTTTTTGTTTGGTGGTTGTTTGTTTTTCACTCAAGATGCGTTGCAGGGCTTACACAAATATGTGTATACAAAGGGGAAGTTATGCTCTTACTTGCACCAATGTCTTAATTGCTGTTTCGGCAACAATACGACTCCGCCCACTTTGTGACGGCTAGTTTCTACTACAAACATTAACAATGAAATCTTTTACTGAGTTTCTTGCAACTCACAAAAATACTGTAATATTTTAATTATAATTATTATTTAAATACAAAAATAGACTTACTCTTTCTTTGTTTAACAATTAAACATGTTTTATTTTATTTTTATACACACACACTTACATATATACATATGTGCTCTATAGAAAGCTAAAACCCGACAACACATAATAAAGCCACATGTTCTCCTACGGTGGCTTTTTCTGCTAAACAGAAGATGTTAACAGAGAATCATCGCACCATGCTTTATTCGCACACAAAGTTGACTAAGAGATTGCGGAGGGGCGGTTCAACCTGTATGACGCGGTAGAGAACTATTAGAAGACTAATTTTTAATTTTTATTTATACTTAAATATTAAAAAAAAAAATTAATTGCTTTTTAGCAAAGTAATATACACAAAAGGGCAACCTGACACCTTAAAAAAGAATGCATTTAAGGAAAACCTTAATTTGTTGAATTTGTTAACTACAATATTAAAAATAATAGATAAAATTATAACAATATTAACACATTAGTTAAATTATTGTTGTACTATAATTAAACTTTTTTTTCAATTATTGAAATTGTGAGAGCTTAAAGAAAGTCTATTGTACAGAAGGGGGCACAATAGACCCGATAGTTGCAATGTCACATCTCCTGTTATATATAAATAAATATTAAAAATTATAGATAAAATTATAAAAATATTAACAATATTAACTCTTGTTAAATATAAATATATAAAATTGATTTCTCATAATTTTTATTTATTTTTTTTAACAAAATATAATAAAATATATTCGAAAAATAAAATTATCTCTTAATATTTCTATATTTTTATATAATATATAATATAAAAAGATATTATAATATTAATAATATATATATAATATATGTACATATATATAATACATATTTTAATAATATAATACAGTCAAACTTCCATAACTCGCTCTTCTATAACTCGAATTTTCTATAACTAGAACTAAATGGTGGGCAACAGGTTTAAGCAGTGGCGTCGCTAGGCGTCAGCGATGTCGGCGACCGCCGATGGCCTCGCGCCCGCAGGGGCTTCGCAAAAAGTTACCGACTGTGGATTCTAAGCACTTAATAAATATTTTGAGCAATTTGGTTTGATAATGGCATTAACTATATTCGAAGTATTCCCTAATGTTTATATAGTAGTCAGATTCATGTTCACAGTTCCAATCAGTATAGCTTCGACGAAAAGAAAGAAGCAAAGTTAAAATTGTTTAAGACGTACTAGAAAAGTATGATGGTCCAAGAGAGACTATCTTCATTATGACATAATTTAAAAAAAAATAAGGTGATAATAAAAGTAGGAAAATTCATTTATTTTAATTTGTGTATATTTTAAATTGATTAGCAATAAAACTTTCAATCATGCTTTGTCGTATTAGTGAATGTAACTTATTTACTTTTACAACTGGGTTATAAAGGGGGACTCGCAATTCTGATATCACCGACGTGCAGAATTGGTCTAGCTCCGCCACTGGGTTTAAGAGAGCACTTACAATCACAAAAAAATTTTTTGGCTCGAAATCTCCATAAGTCTTTATGGGTTTACTTTCAAAATTATTTATCTTAACAATTACTATACATAATAGTCGTATACTACCATTTTTAATTGTTGACAGTACCAACTTAGGCAACTTCGTATTTATTTCGATCATCCATCTTGAGAATATTCACTTGTATCAAAATTTACTCCTACTTACTTACTCTTATTATTCGTAACAGTATTTCATGTTATAAAGCCAATTGAGTCCGACTATCTCAATCTGCAAAGCCAATCCTAATCCCGAAGTTACAAATCTAATTTATCGAGTTTTTTTTACCCACGGATATCGATACGGCTTATTGAAAAGTTTGCGTAACCCCATCATCAATTTTCAAGTAAAATATACCAACACAATAGCAAATGTTATGCTATTCTGAACTATTTACCATATCTCTCTCTTCAAAAAACTTCCATGGTAATGTGATTATAAAACAGAAAAGAAAACTCTCTCAATGCCTTTTCTTGATAACTTTGTCATGATTGTTCTTGTTGCCAGAAACGATTTCCGATATAATGTATACACTTTTAGTGTGATCATACTCTGCTATGATCTAAATAGATCAGTAAAAATAAAATATTCTATAATGGGTAATTATTGAAACAGTACAAATTTGATGTTATAATAAAAAATTTACAGACTGTTATAAATATCCGAGGTAAATAGTGAAATATATTGTCTAATAACATATATAGTTATTTCTATTTTCTTTTTTTTTTTTTTTTTGATATATGAAACTCCTAAGCATTATTCTTTCGATATCATATCTTTTTCGTCAAAGTTCGCGTCTCACTGTCTTGCGACGGACTCTCCAATATTATAATTGGTATTGGTATTTACTGAGCTTTAACTTTTCTTTGTCTATCCGAATTCTTTAGATATTTAGATAATGTGCAATTACGTGTTTATTTTTAACGCTTCGACTACGGTCAACATATTAGTCGCAGTTTATATTCCAACGCAGTGCTTCTGCCATGTATTGTCCTTAATCAGATTTACTTTTATTTCTATAAGTACATTTATTTTCTACTTGTGAGTCTGGAATCAATATTGTAGAGTTTTTACACATTTTCTCCAAGTTTTAACTCAGATCGGGCTATAAGATGGATACCACATTCATGCAACAGTAGTTAAAATTATTTACTTGGAATTTATAAATAAATCACGACATTATAAGCTATATGATAAGATATTATTTTGGAGGCAATTTAAGCAGGTTTACATATATAATCTTGAAACTAATTAAACAAATTTCAATTTATATAAGAAAAAATTATATTTACATATATATTCTTGTTGACACTGCAGTCAAGTATGGACTTTGTTAGCTTTTAAGACCTGTTCACATTTTGTTTGATTAGCTGATAATATCTTTCAGTTAACAATTTTGAGAATTTCAAACCTCGATTTCTCATTGTCGTCGACTTAACATTAGCCCTTTTCAGAACCACTGTTTGGGGAATAAATCATAGATATAAACAACATTTAATAAATGTATGCTACTTTTTGGAATGCGTTCCGACCCCTATATAAGTCAAATATAAGGTCATCAAAAAATGTGAACAATGTAGAACGTTGATAGATGCCGATACTTTTATACTTTTATAAATATAATGTATATAAAATTTTATGATACCGCAAAATAATTCTCTATAATTTTAGACAAGTTGAAGTTAAAAGTAACAAAAAACGATATCGAATATCAGAATAAAAACGGGTCGTTTGCAGTTAATCCAGGAGTAGACAAACTTGAAAAATTTTGCAAATTGTATTCCATTTAAAAATATATAAGAAATATTAAACATCTTTAACCCGAAAGACTGTTAAAAATAAAAATTACCAAAACAGAAGCATACTATCCTTAAATGTACTAAATCGAGCACTTAATGGACGAAATGAAAATTTACTTTAGATTCAGATTTAACCCAAATCAAACAATCAATTATAAATTTTTAAATATAACCAAAAATGTTAAACTATTCATCAAAATTCATTTTGTCCCCTTTAAAGTAAACATCATTAGACACAATAAACACAATACGAATTTCCTTTTATCGCTTCAATCCTCGAAAAATGGTTTCACGACGCGATATGAGGTTGAAATTGATGGGACAATAAAGGGAGCCATTTCTACTTATACAAATAATCCCCGACAAGGACAAATACCGCATAAGGAAATTCGCCGATTGCACCAAAGATCAACTTGTTTGCTCAGCTGTAGCAAAGCAAAAAATAGAATGACATATCCCAATGAAACTTGACACGTACGCCTATGTCAGTGCTATTAAAACAATTTTATTCCTATATCAAGCACCGTTCTGGGTCATATGTAAACTAGTACAACTAAAAACAAAATTTAACATTATTTTTGAGGAATTAATAGTTTAATTTAACAAAGGCTTCAATTAATTTATCCATTAGGTGCCCATCTCTAAAAATAGAGCGTTATTAAACTGTGAGTCCAATAAAATAATGCTCAACCATTCTCCTTCATATGCAAATAATCCATTAAACTTGTATGATTGCAATTCTTTTTGGTGTGATAAAAAGTGAAATGTTTATCACAACATTAAAAATGTTTATTGAGAACTTTTCACTTAGAAATGTTTAAGCAAAATAAAATTCTTGACGTCATTGGTATTTATAATTCGGAGAGAAATCTTACTTAATCTTAATATCGGAACTTATGCATCTATAGTAGCAGAACTTTGTATGCTTATAGTAGTTTAAAAGTGAATCCACAAACAGTAGAAATGATGTTGCTGTTGATACTATGTAATTGAAAACATAAGTCGACCTCTCTACCGCCCTTGTATACAAAAGTTCAGGAAATAGAACTCTATCTTACTATCTTCATTATACCAAACTGTCTTCCTTTAATTCTACAAAATTCAGTCGAAATATTATTATAGCAAAGCAGTTAAGAAAGCAGTTACGGCAAGTTACACCCGTAAACAATCAATATGTAAAAATGGGGCTTCTAACAGAAAATAGTCTATAACTTCCATAACTTGGTCGTCAAACCGGTATTACTCAATGGTGAAGACATTTTATGTTACACCCATCGCTCACAATGAAGATTATGATCTTAAGATCCTGCATTTTAATTACAAGATGTCTATTCCTTCAAAAACACTACATACTTTACTTAATCGTCTCCTAATCAACTTAATAGCTTTAGCACACACAATAAATTTAATCGAAAAATGGGAATCACCTCAAAAATATTTCAGCATTCTAAAAAAATTTAATATATTTTTCAAAAGATCGACTTTCCACCACACAATCAAAACAACTAAAACTTATAATAATATTTAACATTACACGCTTCACCAAGACAAGATGGGTGGCAAAATAATTTTCGCGACCTTTACGATCAATATAACATTAACACTGACGGTTATACCGGCGGCGATCCCAGGGGGATCCACTTAGGCCTGACGGCTCCTTACTAGATAGTAAAATTGAGTTTGGCATTTCTTTAGTAATAAACACACTTTTAGTATTATACAGAATATCAGATTATGTCAGAGTATATCATGCGGAAGTAATGCCATTTAACGTTGTTGCTGGTATACTATTGGAAAGTCATATTTAAGAAAATTATATTATATTTTTTATATTCTTGAACTCTTGATATATAAAATCTAAAGTAATTTTGTAATATATCATCTCTAGAGATACCAACTGGATACCATAACATAGTGACTACTGTGGTAACTTTATTGCAGTAGTTTTATAGCAGATTTTACATAGAGTAATTTTGCCCTATGTCATACCGCCAGGAGAGATTAGCAGACATGATAACGTATCCGTCATCTGGATTTGAGAACATAATGATTACCATTGCAACTTTATGACAGTAGTTTTATAGCAGTACTTTACATAAAATAGTTTTGTCAGACATAATAATGTATCTGGGTACCAAGACATAGTGACTACCATGACAACTTTATAGCATATAAGCTTATACGTAAAAGCGCAATCAATACCTTTAAACCTAACATATTATACATTCATTTTCAATCAAAATTACACAAATAGGGCAAAATGAGAAAATTTGTACAATAACTAAATAAATCTATTCATCCATAAGTCTATGTAAAACTAGATAACTAATTAAATTGTTTAGGACCGAAATCGATATGATAACCTCTAATAATCGTTCATTGCTTAATACAGTGGCATCCACAGATACTTGGAATTCTAACTAAGAATCTCTGCCGCCTATAGCAAGAAAAAAAGAAAAAACTGACAAAAGATATTGTCTTAGAATAACCAGAATTACAGTTCTTGGGAAAATCTTTATAGAGTACCTCTATAAACTCTCAGAAACGCTCAAAATTCACAAAAAAAAAAATTGGTTAAAATAATATAATTAGTTCATAATTCTGAAATACATGTATCATAAAAAAACTTGCTAGAAAGTACCTTGGGTATTGTAATAGACCCAAGTCTATGTGAAGTCGGGGAACTTGAGCTAACCTAAGTAAAACAATTATTTAATTTTTCTTTTTTTAGCAATATAAATATGAGTAAAATTTAGAATTACCTACTGACATAGGTATATTAAATTTCTTGTGACAATTTATGTACGGAGTGACATTTTCAATGTAGTACTAAATTTCTTTATGGTAGAAGAAAACTAAACATCTTTTTATTGTTAATCAGTTCCAAAACAACACACATAAAAATATTACCAAAACCTTAATCCAGTTTGACAGTTATTAAAGATTAAGGATTGTCGTGTGAATGTCAAAAATGAGCACCACATATCCATATTAAGTACCTTAGGTGTTTCAAATTTAAATTTTGATAGCTGAACATAAATTTCGAAACTATGTATTCATCCTATAACCATAAATTTTATATTAATCTAATTTATTCCATTTGCAATTGATCAGCTGTTATAATAAATTTACGAAACTGTCAAGTAAATCACAAAAAAATTTTAAAAGCCGGTAAATGTTCTTTAATTTAAAAAACAATTAAACAAATATAAGTAAAAATATTTGTAGTTGTTACATGTTGATTGAGGGACTTAAAAAGTTATCCAGTGGCTCGCCAAAGAGAAATAAACATTTATTATTTTGCCACCCATTTACTTTTATTGCTGTCTTCTTCTTAATAGGTGCTGTGTTTGGTTCGATTTCTTTCAGTTTTCTGTAAAAAACATAATGTATTTAAAACGATTTTCGTAACTGAGTATTTGGTAAAACTAGATGTGTTCCAGATCCGGTAACACTAGTCTTTTAAAACAAATGGGTAAATGAGCTTATAATTAAGCCCATTTACTTAAACTTTGAAAGCAAATAAAAGTAAATAAATACCAACATTATGGTATGGTAAGATTAATAATGAAATAATTATATAAAACCTACCTTCAGCATGAGTACTACGATTATTATGGTTTCTCTCCAAATTTTCCATTCTTATTTTTCTTTGTGACAGACCGTTCTGCTTTCTGTTGCTTAAACATTCTCACAATTTCCCGGTGGCTAGGCACAGATTTGATACGTCCAATTTTTGTGAAATATTTAATGGAAAATGTTGTAGCGCCTAGAGTAACTACATACCTCAGAGGTGTTGCTAGTTCATAACAAAGAAACGCAATTGCAGCGTGTCCCATTTTTGAGTCCCGTGCTTTATTAATAACTGGTTCACTAAAATTAAGAGACTGCAACAATGCTGCTATATCCACTCCACTTTTTGAGAGCAAATAGAAAATGCTCAACCAGCCGATTGAAGTAACAATGTGAACTGGAATCACAACAAACCAATACTTCTTATACGTTCGCTTGTACCTAGCGAAAAGTCCCATACTTGAACTTCCTCCCAAAACATCAGTTTCAATCGCATTTACCTTCTCATTGAAATCGGGACAGGGCTTCTTCCGCATGTAACGATACATCGTCTGTGTCTGCCAGACAGTACTTACCAACAGTGGTTTGGTGACAGCATTACGATTACAAAAGTTCATGTCCAAGACAGAAGTTTTGCCACAGACGTTTGTACCACCAAGATTAAAAGAATTCATTGTGCGTGGAGCAGAGGAGGACGGTAGCAAATTTGGTAGTATACATAAATATTTTGCATACTGTAATACCCGGCGATCAAATAATTTTATTGCTAGTATGCTCATGACTTTAAACGTCACTAACTCTCAAATGAATGTATAAAAACCGATTTTTAATGGACTTTTGAAACAATTTAGTGCAGCTTCTAATTGGATATAAAATAAAAAACAAATAGACACAAATATTTTATTTCGATGTTATTATTTGAAAACAAATTAAACTTTATTAACATTTAAACAATAACTTGGCCTACTATTCCTATACCAAAATTTGAACATCAAAATTTTTAAAATAGAAAAATTTGAGTTTATGGTATGTTCAGTATAGGAACATGAAAAAATGTTAAAAAATTCTATCTTAAGCTTTTTATAATGGTAATTCCACTATCTATATACACACTCACTATTGAAGTCATACTTGTGGCATCTAACATATACCATGGGTTTCAAAGAAGACTCTTGTCAACAAAAACTTACTCTTGTCAACAGATGATACTTCATGTTAAGTTGGCAATTGAGAAATTAAACAAAAATGACCCTCTATAAGTCTATTACCAAAGCTGTCCTGCTGTATGGTGCAGAAGCTTAAACAATTACCAACAGCGATAAGAAGGTGTTAAAAGTATTCGAGCGTTAAATTCTTCGGAAGATCTATGGTCCCTTACGCATTGGCGACGAGTATCGAATTAGATGAAACGATGAGCTGTATGAGCTACATATACCGCGACAAGGACACAGTCAAGCGTATAAAAATTCGCTTTCGGAGCACTACCACTTGGCGACTGCAAGGCACTGATCGCACTGGTTGACAAAGACTACTGGACGCGGCCCATAGCGACTCACATTTGTAATGGCCACCTAAGTAAGTAAGTAATACCATCCATTATTATAAAAAAGGGAGAGTACACTGTGAGAGCTTAAAGATCTATTGTGCCCCTTAGTAAAATTAGATTGTTTCCCTTTATGTTCCATGAAATACCCTCCTAAAGTAATACCATGCGCTACAAAAAGTATGGTAAGGTACATTACACATTAAACATGATTTTCGAAAACGTGACAAAAAATACATTTAAAAAATTCCTAGATTTCAAATAAAAAAAAACAATAGTCTTTTTAAGAAATAATTTTGAAAAAGTAATAACTGAACGTTATTTATTGAATTGGACATCAATTATAATCGTTTTTTTTTTTTGGATATATGATATGTTATGTCACCTACAGTATAAAGAAGTAGTCAAAAAAAAAAGTAAACTTGATTGAAAAAGCAAATATACGGGGGTGCCTATTAGAATACCAAAAGTGTAAAACTAAAAATAGTTTTTAGAAATGTTTCGAATAGTTACAAATTGTCTCAAAAAAAATTTTATTTTTATTTTGTTGTTACAATTCACTACTGTTCAAAACCTCTCTATTAAATATATAAATAGATTTTACTGAGTAATCATTGCCCTAATAATTGACGTTTAAATTTAATTATATAAAAACATTTTTAATAGTTTTTTATTTTTATGATCAAAATTATTAATAACAATATTTTAGAATTTTACTAGTTTAAGTACAATTAGTAATATAACTCTTAACATCATATATGCGTTGGATGGAGGTATGAAATGTTTCGCAGCTTTAAATATTCTTTGGAGACAGGAACAAGTGTTAGTCCAAACATCTTTGATCTAAAATGAAATTCGAATACCAAGATATGTAACATTGTAATGTAACAACATCATTGTAACAGCAAATTTTTACTAAATGATTGTAATATAATTTATTTTAAGTATTCACTAATATTCCGTGAATTGGATATATATTATATGAAAAAGTAATTCAGGATTGAGGCTACAGGACGTATTTCCTTGTTTCCTCAGCAGGTTTTTGTATCAGTACATTATAAAAACACAGTTCTATACATTTTATATTAATATAGTTGTACTCAGACATATCTTTTATCACAACGCTTTTAAGAACTACCATATAATAATTGAGTATACACCAAAAACTGCTTTAGCTAAACTCTTATTAAATACTCTTTTATATTATCTGCATAATCTTATTAATGATCTTCTTAATCTTCTTCTTTAAAAAATGCCGAAACCAAATGAAGTGGAGGCGTTGAAAAAATTATATTAAAATAAACCTAATGGACACTTCTACATATTGCTCTGCACATATTTATACATAGCTTCTTTAATAAAAGTAAGTGCTGAAGTACATAGCATCACTAAGATGCTATGCTGAAGTACTTTTTTTGTGCATAGAAGTGCAGTAATACTTTTAATGAGTGTTGCATTTTCAAATTAATCAATATCCCATAAATAATTTATAGAAACGATTTAGTATAGACTTTACTGTTTTGGGTACAGTATTATATATTTTTAAACATATTACTTTATTTCAAGGAACAATATTCTGTGATGTGAAACTCATTTGTATTGCAAGCAGATAATGTTGTTTCTCAAAGTACTAACCACAATGAACTAATTAGTTAATGTTTTGTATATACTTGTTCAAATAATATTATTCT